CGGGAGAGGAGTGGGGGGGGGGGGGGGGGGGGCAGAAAGCAACAAAACAAAATTGAAACAAAAACAACCAAAGATTTGATAATATGAACACTATAAAATTACAAAATGTGCAATAAAGCCAGCAACGGTGGTGGATTCCTTTCTAATGAATATAGCAACAAAATCTGTTTCAAGGGAGAAAAAGTTGATTCAACATTTTGCTCACTGTGCCCTATAGGAAGGCAGAGGTACTGTATTATTCCATTAGTTAACCCATCTGTGAATAAAATTACACCAGCGTGTGTTCTTTTTGTGAACAAAGCTCATACAACTTAAACAAAACAAAAAAAGTTAAACATGTTTATACTATTGTATATCTGAGTAACTGTTTTATCTGTTTAGAATAAACACTGGTATCCCTTCAGCGTTATTTAAGAAGTTCTATATACAGCAGACATAGGTAACAATAAAAAAAAAATATTAAAATTAGGGTAACTGGATATATATTAAGGTTCCATTTATAAATTCCTTATTATTATTCATTTAACTTTAAAGCATACATGAATATAACCCATGAAACTATACTTAAGTGTATACCATGCTTTGACAATATCTACATACTGTGATATGCTTTTAAAAATAGTTTTAAAATATCATTATTTGTGAAAGTATTACTGATGTATTATATGACATGCTTTAAAATAAATTATCAGAGAAGGTAGCTCGCTGTGATAATCATCATAAATACTAACAAAACATTTATAAATGGAACCTTAAATTCATACGTTACCAAATTAAGTAATAGTGGCGTTGCCACCTTTTCAAAAACCCACATCAGGATTCAGGATGTCAAAGTGCTTTTTGCAGCAGAGGTGGGAAAGTGGTTCAGGTTCATTTTGCTCCACATGGTCATCGTATAGTCTTTATTACAAGGGAATGCAAAATATGGTGGAAATGGAACAACTGGAAGTAATTTTTTTTTATAGTCAGACAATAGTGATAGCTTTGGATGCTTAAATGAATCGCTCTTCCCTTTCACATGGGAGTTTCTAGTTCAATTCTGTTTGGCCTGAATTAAGCCTCCACTAGACAATGCTTTGGGTTGCAAATTTGACATTTCTTCCAACTGTAATTTTAATGGGAGTATCCTCATCAGCTAAAGAACATCTTTTTGGATCAAGAAATGATCATAATTGATCTTTACTTTATTATCCAAAGGCATTTTCATTGTTATAGATACTGTTGGTGTGGCCCTCCATTACTTTGCTAAAGTGAGACCCAGAGGCTTCGTGTTACTGAAGTCCAGTCCTGATCAGAGCAAGGAAGTGTCAACCATACACCTACAAAGTTATTCAAACACATTTCTCCTCACTTCAAAGACAATGACTGATAATCATCACCCCCCTCTTTTACTCCATATATATATAAATACATTAAGTAATTACATTTTTATATGTAAACGTCGTTCCTTAAAAAAGACAAATACACAAACAAACATGTTTTGCTAAGTTTTCACTCTAGAAAAGTGTTCTAATGTATCAATCTGCTTTTGCTTCAGTGGTGGGTTGGACGCTCACGTTTAGGTTTCATCAGTCCTGGCTGTGAGAAGGCACTTGAGTGGAGGGATGGCTGAGGCACTCCTGGCAGCAAGGAGGCACCTTGTGAGTGGAGCACGAGGACAGAGGAGAGGAGGTACACAAAAATAGAAACTGGGAGTACCAGGATGAACTGAGGTGTCCAGGTTGCGTAGCATTTACAGTATTTTGCTGGTAATGCAGCAACCATTGCTCAAGCATCTGAAAGAAGTTGGGGGAAAAAAAAATTATATTTACTATATTTGTTTTATTTGGTTAGGAAGTCAATCACACAAGAACAGAGCTCCATTGTGATACAGTATAGTGGTGCAGCACAATGTTTCCTGTTCTGCATTTTCCTACAAATGTGAGAACATTTATATAGAAATAGGTATCTGCCTATATAGGTGGAGACACACACATATGTGTATGTGCACCTATGTATCTAAATGTATATAAAAATCTTATATAAGAAGACCTTGGAAAGCATTTTCTGAACTTCAAAACATTTCAGACAAGGCACTATAGACAGACATGCTCATTAAATATATCTGCTCTCTCCATGCCTCTTGGAAGAGGGGTGATCCAGAAGTAGCTCTCTGCCTGCAGGACACACTGCAATAGCCTACAAAGGGAAGTGGATATACAGAGAGAATTCTAAGCACGTATCTCGCTCAGAGATTTCTCTCTCATTTTTTCCAGGTGGGTAGTATTAAACATCTGGGGTTTGTTATTCAAACTGAGATTACTATAGGGGCAAAGGGCATTCATGGTATTTCAACAAATCAAGGTTTACTCCACACGATGACATTACAGATCGCTTTCAGTAACTAAATGATACTTTTCATTTCTGTATTTCATGCTTGCTCCACAGGTTATCAGAAGCTTCAGCATTTTCCAGACATTTTCTGTAACTAACCTCTGCATTCATATTTGAGGTCAGAGAAATAGACCATCTCTTGAGAGAAGACAAAAAGACCTAATCGTCCACCAGCAAAGGTTGTATCATAGATTGGTCCAGAATCCACCATGACTTGTTTCCCTTCATACACTAAAACTCTGGAAAGAAGAACATAATTTAAATTAGACAAGGAGGATAACGCAGTGTCCCGTGCTAAGGGCTAGTAACAGTTCCCAAGAACTTAAGCAGAACTAATTTCAACAAGGCACCAGAAAACCCAGCTTCATTGGAAGGATCACTTCTCATCTCTATCTCACGCCCACCTGGCTGGCAGCCATAACACATAAATCAGAAGCAGTGGAGCTGTTCCATAAGTAATTTTATGCACACCATCTGCAAAAGATTTCCCAATTCTTTATTTAGAACAGTCATGTCTCCTGGAATGAACTATGTCATGTTCATTGATAAGCCCCTGTCCCTGTGAACTCAGGGGTTAGCACAAGACCTCGCCACATCACTTAGCAAAGTCGTCTTTACAGCTGTGTGAACGGCTGATTTATTTGTCTTTAGGTGCAAGCGCCAACATCAGAAATTGGAAGAACTGTCCCTTTAGAGTCAAACAAAACATTAATTGGAGACGTGCTGAATCTCAATTTCAGACATTTTAAGAGCTTAATGAAAGCTGGAAGGATTTGGACACAAACAGCTAGACTAATAATAAATTGGAAAAGGAGAACTTGGAGGGTTTTTTTGGTTTGTTTTGGGTTTTTTGGTAGTGTTTCAGGCATCCACTCAGGAGCCAAAAGACCTCTAAAGACGTCTCTTCATTTTCCTTCTCTGTCAGATAGACTGCAGTTCCTTGAATTTGGATTCTCCACTTCTCATGGGAGACCTTGAGATAGTCAAGGTTCTTAGGCTCTCAGTCTCTTAAAATAGCTTTTAGGCCAAATGAGAAGTGACTCTATAGTCTGTTAATTAAAGCAGTCTCTGGAGGAAGGGATTATGGTCCGGCTTCAATTGACAATACCTTAGTTATACAAAGCAGGATGGCTTCACGTGAGCATGAACACACTTGAGCAACTTCCTATAACTCAAGGGCTAGGGACAGATTTCTGCTTAGGCAGAAATGCATGTCCAGCACTTGCTCTACTTTGAAGTGTTATTTTCTGAGAGGTGCCCAAAGACAAGTATGAAACTGCTCCCTGAAAATAGTATTTACTGGATGGTAAAAAGAACAGCAAAAAGAATGACAGGTTTTCATGTTCATGTAACTCTAACATAATTCTCAAAATTTCAAGAACCCCAAAACATATGGGAAGACCTTAAATTATTCATCCCACCAGAAAAGATTAGAGCCATGTAATTATGTTAATACTAAATTGCTATTTCTGTACAGATAAAATGGTTTCATGACTACACAAGTGAAAAAATTGATTTCATTTATTTATTTTGTATAAAAACACCCGAAAGAATGAAGGAATTTAATGCCCTAGACCACAGAATGTGTCATGCTAGATTAATCTAATGGGATACCAGTTCAAATATGCTTTGTCTGACACTAAGATTCTGCAAAGGAAGATAAGGTAACAGTAACATGAATGAAAAACTCAAGTTTCCTTTTGACCTGTATCAGTCAATGCTTTGCACTGCAATACTTTGACGCATGAAGAAACTCTTTTCTTTCCAAGAAACAGATAACTTACTTAGTCTATTCAAATTGGTCTACTCTGTCTTTCACAGCCAAATGAAACTCCCCTGCCCATAAGCACAAACACGACCTTCAGAAGTAAGGTCAGACTCTGCCCCATGAAAAACGTCCTCTACAGTTACAGTAGTAAGTAGAAAATAAAATTCACATGGACAGTTAATGCTCATTCTTTGGAACATCAGATAAACAGCTGGGCTCTAAGAAAAGTCATATGCCATAGCTCCTTGTTGTGTGCATAACAGATGTGCTCACGGCTACTTCTGCAGTATCTCTTATAAGCCACTATGGAAGACAGGATGCTGAAGGAGACAGGCCGTTGGCCTACTTCCCTGTGGCAATTCTGATGTTTCTAATTAAATTCATTCAAATTCCAGAGGCTGAGGAGGAATTTCATGTTCTAGTCTTGCTTTACGTTTTGCTCAGGAAGTTTTAGTTCCTTTACAGAAGAGCTATTGAGAAAGAATTTTATTTTTTTCTTTAAGAATATTTAGCTGATGTAAATATTAAACCATCCAAACTAGAATAAATACATCTGAAAAAGGAAAATAACTTATTCTAAAGATAACAAAATGTCCCCAAAATATTGGAACCAACTGTCACACATACATCATTATCATCAGATCTAACAAAGAAACTGACAACATAGCTGTTATATCAGCAGAGACAAAAGTTTTGCTACTAGAAAATATAGAGGTGCAGAAACATTTCTTACTTTATTAATCCTGTTTTAGGCCTATGAATCAAATGCCACCTGTAAGCAGTATAATCTTTCCAGCCAATGTTCTTGGGATCGTGCCACAAAGTACGCACCTACAGTAGGAATACAAATGCCTTATTAGAATCAGACTGTGCTCCAGTAACTGTACATCCACTACAGTAACTGTACATACAGCCAAAGCTTATTTGCTGCAGAGCATGAAACTGAAAACTATGTTTAACATTTGATGGTATGATCAGCAGACTTCTTTTATAGGGGGAGAGTAATGAAAATTTCTGTCTTAAATTATTGATCAGTTACTCATCATGTTGTTTCATGGAGTCACTAAAGACCATTACAGCATTGAATCTGACTTCCCTTAGGAAGTCCTGCCCCTCTTTGCACATACACACCCACGCTGCCACAGTCAGTGCTACTTTTCCTATCTGTAAGAGTGCCTCCACCGAAGGAGAGGGACTGAGGCTGGCATAGATGTTACTGCCTGTGGCCTGCTCCTTGAAATCTCTCACACTCAGTCAAGGTCCTTTTCCTGCAAGGAGCTCTGAAGTGCGAAATTCCTATCCACGTACGAAGCCCCGCTAACTTAATTTCCAAAAGGCACAAGTTTCTTCTGTGGCTGGACCCTATTTGGAACAGCAGTAGGTTTTCTCTCTTTGTTTTCATTTCTTTACTCTTTGGCTGTCACTGGTTACTGAACTCTAAACCACATATAATTCAAACAAGCTGGAATGCCAAAGCAGCAAGTGCCAATACAGAGGTCACAAAGGATTTGTGGATAACTGAGACCTCTCACTCCTTTTTCTTTGGACCAGACCACATCTTCCCCTTTATACATGTAATTTTTTCCACCAATACTTTTTTATACTTGTAATGTTTTCTTTGAAACACAATGCAAATGTTATTATTGACACTAATAATACGGTAATTAAAGAAAAGCTGATAAACGCCTGCAAAAATTGAAGAGAAAGGAAACTCTTTTTGAGACATCTCCCTTCTTTTTAAAATATTAGTCAAGCATCATTGGCCTGAAGTTTTAAATCTCTCACCTGTCCAGGGGTGTTTCCTGTGTGCCAGAGAGCATTTCTCAAGTGTTCACCAGCACCAGTTGTTGAATTCACTACTTTGAGTGACACACCAGAATAGCCATAAGCCCTGGTGGGTTTGTCCTCCCAGTAGGTCTGAGTCACCTGCTTCCACATCAGAACATAAAACCGACTGCTGGACTGGTAGCCAAACACAAAGCCGGCATAGTCATCATCGCGGTCTGTGTTAACATAGAACGTCCCACTGAAGTCCACGGAGCTGAACTCATCGTAGCCTGGGAGAGGACGAAAGAGACAAATCATTAAGTTACAATTCTGAGTCCAGCCGCCCACACCCGAGAGTCCCAGCTCTATCCTGAGTTTTGCAAGGAGTCATAAACTATCTTTTCCAGTTGCCTTACCTGTAGGAGAGGAGGTAATCACACTTGCCTACCTATCACACGGAGACTTCTGGAGAGAAATAAGTTGTTTACAAGGCGCTTTGAAGACAGCAGGCGCTATACTTACATCAAGTTCCTCAACTGGGTATTTTATGTGTGTTATAGTCAGTGATGAGATGAATGGTCAACAAAGGCAAACAGCATTGAGCCGTTTTTAATCTGGGCATATAGACTGTCCCCGTGTGTCAGTCCAAAGCTTGCAGCACCAAAAACGTGTGTTTATCAACTTTTTTTTTTCCCTTTCCCTATCACCAGATCACTGATTACTTTTCCAAAGATGATGGCCGACATGTGATACTCACCTACAGCTATTCCAGGATCAGAGTTGGCAGTCTGCACCAGTTCCTTGCCTTGGTGGCGAATAACCCAGTTGGGATCAATCTGAGCTGTTCCCTTGGGGTCCAGGGGGACCATCTGGAACTTTCTGAAATCAGTTTCACTGATGGCATTGTTTTCAGGGCATACATCATAAATATCTGGGACATTGTCATTGTCAAAGTCATCTTTGCAAATATCACCTCTGCCATCACCTATAAGCAATGTGAATAAGCAAATGCAATTGTTAGCAATTTATCCAGCCTTCCTAACAGCTCTCCCACTGATGGAAGAAATTTATGATACATATGAGTAAGTTATTCTCTTGTTTCTCAAAAAACACTCCAAATGACTCCAAAGAAAGCTTCATTCTCTGAAAGACCGTTTGAAGTGTTGCTGGTAATGACTGGAAGAAGTTATCAACTTAGATCAGAGCCAAAACTGTTGTTAATAAAACTGTTCTGTCAGGGGTTTATGACAGTGATCAGTCTGGCTCCAGTCTGTACACTGCTTTGGAATCAGGGTGGGAAAAGTCGGAAGTTTGCTATGTCAATATAATTCACTAATGCTTGTATTACATTTGCAGTTTGATTTGTCCCAGACATGGATACAATGCCACATTTTAATATGTGCAGTGTAAATGAATTCAAACAATAGCATTAAAATCTTAATCTTCCTGCACATTACTAAATCCTTAATATATTATTGAAGATACTAAACTTTTTTTCAGGTTCTTTTGTCTCGGTCTCAAGATTCTTTCAGCAACAATCCATCTAAAGTGCTTCAGGTTGCAGTACTGTCACCTCTATGTCAAAAGAAAGTGGGGACAGTACTGCAGTAAAATATGCATACGTGCTTAGTCACTCTTTCACTTGGGGGGAGAACAATTTGTCTTATAAAAATGTAGCGCTTCAGAAAAGTGTAAGAAAAAAGAAAGAAGCACTGTATCCAACAGGACTAGCCTTGGAGGAATGGTAATATTGAGTTTTGTTATATGAATTGCAAGAAGTTTTTTAGAGAACCTAAAAATACATCCACACAGCTCAGCTACAGTTGTGCTTCAGCTGAACACTTTTACTACGCTCAGTATTTTTTCAAAAATAAAAAATTATTTCCTGTCTTCATTTACCCATAATATTGGTGGAAACCAGAAGATGTGACTTGCCTTGAATAGCAGGTGGTGAAAGGAGGCATCTAAAAAAAAAATAACTCATTGCCAATGCCGTTGTTATTCAGTGGCATAAAATAGTACAAACACTTGAAAATAAAGTAGAAAAACTTGGCTAGACAAGTATAGAAACAAATTCGCAAATGGCTCCGACTTTTACAACAAAAACCACTAGATATTACACTGGGTAGTAACGTAAAACCAGAACTGCCAGGCAATTTGTTTCTATCCTCATGTAGCTGAGCATCTGCTTTTTTTTTTTAAGATAAAGTGTTTGTGACTGCTCTAAGAACATGGGAATTCACAGAATGGGAAATAGCAATGATCCAGCCCACTCAATATTGACCTCCTACTAGATGTTTCACAGACAAATGGAAAGCTACATTACTATGGCTCACTTGCACAGCATTATCCAGAGAGAAAGAAGAATGAGTTTTACGCAACAGCCAACAAAAAGTAGTTAGAAAAAGCTGAAGCATCTCATATCTCAAAGAGTTTCTGCAGTTCAGATACACGGTAAAATGGTCCCATTTTCCAGCCTGGCAATCAGCCATGGAGAACTCCAAATCCTGACCAGCTGTGTGCTTCTGCACCTGCTTGTCTTAGTACTTATTGGAGAAATTTCCGATTTTATTCCCTTTGCCAATATCAAAGAGGTAATTCTTGAGTCACAGGAGAATCTAATTATTCACTGAAAGGCCTGCTGACGTTCATTTGGTACTGAGCTGCCGCTGACAACATTGATTCCCCATCAAGGAAAGTTAGAAAGCGTTTGTTTACCCAGACATGTCCAACAGCTCTCTCCAGGGCCTCATCTTTATATACTATAGCTCACATCTTCAAGAGCATGGGAGCATCTTTTGGTTTTATTTATCGCTCTTCCAAGATTTCTGTTGGACCTGCCGCTAACGACAATGATGAGCTGGCTACGCTGTTTAAATTTATGCTTTTTATGAATCCTTACTCCATACATAAATGGAGTCTCCCTTGCAAGATCCAGGTGACAGACGGCTATGACGAACAATGCCAGTTTGGGGGCACCCTTATTCTGGAATATTTCTGAAATTAAGGGGCTATTCCAGAGATTGGCAAGTACAAAGATATTCCAAAAATATAATTGGACTGAAGAGTTAAGTAATTTAAGAACTACTGTTGACTACCAACCAGAAACTTCCTACTGCCAGCAGTTGTCTTACCAGGAAATCAGTCAGGACTCAGGATTTTATCTTTCTAAACGTACATAAAACCATCTTGTGTAGGTACTAAATTCTCCTTTCAATTTCACCAGTGTAACCATGGAATGACTCGAGCAAGCTGTATAACTCAGAACAGAAATTCCTCACCTGTATTTATTGCAAGGGCCATTACTTGTAGACATATGGTGGTTTTCAAAGGATCATAAATGTTTCCTAAGTTACATTTATGACTGTGAAACTATCACTATTTCATTATTGAAATACTGCCAAGCATAGAGAAGGACTGTTTGAGAGTGACCAGCAACATTTTACTACAGAACTGCATACACATTTGGACCAGCAAACATGTTTGAGCCCCTATCAAAGAAGTTTCCTAACACTCTAACCCTGGACCAAACTGGCCAGTTCAGTTCCATTGAAGTCCATAGTGTCTCAAATGTCCAAAGCAGCTCAGTTTGATCTAAAGTCTTTCTCTTCATCAGATATTAATACTCCAAGATCAGAATTGGATGCTAAGAACTAAATGAAATTCATACGACACTGTTCTTACCATCAGAGTCCTCCTGCTCAGGGTTGTATCTGAGGCGACAATTGTCCCTGTCATCTGGGACACCATCATTGTCATCATCAGGATCACAGGCATCCCCTTTACCATCTTTATCATGGTCAGCCTGGTTAGCATTGGGGATGTACGGGCAGTTATCCTGGTTGTTCTGGTGGCCATCTTCATCTATGTCCTCATTGTTGTCACACTGGTCACCAACAAGGTCATTATCTGCATCAGTCTACCCAAAAAAATTTTAAAGAGTAAATTTATTAGTGTTACTAAACACAAAAGTACGGATAGCCTGGTACTTAATTTCTCAACATTTCTCTTCAAGAACTTCTCTGGAGACAAGTGATATCATGATGACAACAGTGCTTAAAGCAGAAACATAACTTCAAACTAGTACGGCTACTTATTCGGCTATCAGTGCACAAGATCTGGTCCCCAAGACATCTCCAGGGCAGATCTTTGGCCACAATCTTCATTGCTCTCATTCTAGAGATCACAGGGGAACGTCAATCTGGGCAGCACATTTTCTGATTGCTTCTGTATACTTGATGTCGCTTATCTGCGCATGGACCAACAAACAGGCATATCAAATGCAGCCCTGAGGCTGCACTCACTCGCCATGGGGGAAGAATACAGTTCACCAAAGGCTTGAAGATGGATTAATGGCATCGTCACTCTACTTCCCTTTCATCAGATACAAAGAAGTCTAACAGCCTGAGGTGTGAAAATGAGCAATACAGATCCACATCTTCAGCTCTACAGTAAACAAGGACCGATAGCAACTCCTGTGTTCTGTTCTCTGCCCTTGTTCTGACGTTACCATTAATGAAACCATCTCTAACATTTACCTGGTCTGGATTATGCATCAATGGACAATTATCACACTGATCACCAACTCCATCACCATCTGTGTCACTCTGGTCTGTGTTATAGACGTAAGGACAATTATCTCGCTCATTAAAAATGTCTATGAGGAAAAAAACCACAAAAGATTGAAGAAATGAAAATGATACAGCATCCAGCACAGACAGCCATAGACTACAGAAGTTACCAGTAAAGAAGCAAGGCTCTTAAGCAAGGCTTTCAGATTGCTACAACATGAAATAGTGAAAAGACTCATATTAGAAAGAACAATTATGATATTAATTCCACTTTTCTTGCCTTGATAAAGTCTTCTATATGTATTTTCCTAAGGAATTTCGCTAGAGTAAGGGCTGATTATGTCTTAAGAATTTAGCCCTTTTTCATAAAACAACAGATAAAGGGGCAGGGTATTCTTTATAAATAATTTGATTTGGATTTTCTTCCCACACTGTAAGAAATGTCATAGAACGCACAGCTATATCATGGTGGAATTTCTGGAGAGTTTTGTATAGGAACAACTACATTAACGTTCAGCTGCCTCAGCACTAAATAAGTTTATTTTACCAGAACATGTGCATCATTTATCATACAGCATGCCAAATATTCAAAAGAAACTGTTCCTCCTCAGGAAACTATTATACAACCAACAGTCTCCCTCAAAATTGTAATACGTTGAAAAGAAACAAAATCAAGACATGTTGGCATATCTGTCTGGAAAGGATACAAGGACCTTTTACTACATGATATGGTTCCTAGATATTTGCATAATCTTTCAGCCAATGACATACAATTACATTTTTCTTCAAATGCAGAACTACCATGAGTACTGGTCTAAATAGTAAGAGCCTGATGATCAGAAGGATGAGAGGACTTCAAAATGTTCATAAGTTCAAGTCAGATAAACATCCAAAAGTTTAAAACGTTACTGAAAGAAATCCAAAACTAGATTTCTTCAACTTCTAGTACTTCTGCATTCTCATAAGTTTGAAATGCTGCAGGGATATGATTTTTTAAAGACATTTAAGTGCTTTTCCCCCTTCTTAATTCTGATCAAATCTGGGTCATATAGGCATGTACTGGTAGATGAAATAAACAACTTAAAACATTATTAAAGACACATAAAGAATGTGTATTTGGATTACTGTGGCTTTGCATTACATTCATAGAAAAGCAGATTAATTTCCTACAGATATTGTCTTAACCACATGAATGTTCTGATATTCTTTTCCCTCCCTAAAAAGGAAAAAAAAAGTCAACGGAAGTGTTACATTAGACCCTGATTACTTTGGAACACAGACGAAGGAAAGAATTTTTTTTTTTTAAGATTACACTGATAAAAGACTTGCTGTGATTTCTTCTTCAATAATATCCATTGTAGTCATTCAGGGACTTTATGGACAACTATACTACACAGGACAGATAAACCTCCATTTTTTTTTATTCTCCTGCATTTTTGAGCTGCTAGAGCCACGTATAAAAACAGGTATCCCATCTTACTGGACATAAAGCAAAGTGTGCTTGAGGAGCAGCACTTAATTCTCAAAACTGAAAGCATACCATCTCCGTCAATATCCACAGCACATGAGTCACCCTCCCCATTATTATCTGTGTCAATCTGAGCAGGGTTGTGCACATAGGGGCAATTATCACAGCGGTCACCAACTTCATCCTTGTCATAATCAAACTGACGAGGGTTGAACAGAAGAGGGCAATTGTCCTAGTAAGAAGAAATAGAAGATTTCAGAATATAAATCATAACTCATAAGAGCATACTATACAGTGGTAACTCTTCCTGTTCATCTTGGACAAGGGCAAAAAATTAAAATATTAATCCATTAGTTTTTTCAATAGACAAGCTGTCTACACTGAAGATCTTGGTGGCAATGGGACGGCACCTGGGCAGCCCGGCTCACTTTTGCGGTTTTGTACAAGGAGAGCAGCAGGCATTTTAAATTGGATCTGTACTCAGAGATTTCAACAAAATTATATCATTGGTACCTGTGGGTTTTATTGGTTTTGGGTTCCTCCCTCCCCCCCAAAAAAATCAGAATGTGTTGCAAATTCAGGCCAACTTCAGCTGCATTTTATATTTCTTTGAAAAAACTTGAATTGTTACTCTGACTTTTTTGGAACAAACTAGTATCGATATTCTCACTTTTAAACCACATATTTTGATTTTTAAATTTAAACAAGGATTGACCTTTTTGTGGGTTGTGTTATTTTGCATATGATAGTAAAACATAAGAAGTTTCAAGAAGCAAAGTTAAAATTAACTATGCTTATTGACCCAAAATATTTTTTTTCCCTGAAACGATTCCTTTCAGTGGAATTTTGAAAATTTCATTTCATTTTAGTTCTTAATTTGAAAGTCTGCCAGAACAAGAATTCTTATGTTTCACACATCCCCAAATTACACATGGACTTTTGCATAGGCGCGAGGAAGTACTCAAGTGTGGAAAGCAAAGAAGAGTGAAAACAAAGCAAAGCAGTGGGAGTGAGGGCTGCATCAGCATCATGGAATCTGAAGGGAGGTCATATGGAAAAAAAAATGAAAAAAAAAAAATCTTTAAACTACTTTTTTGCTGCTAAAGCAGAAACCATTTACCATGAAACAATTTTTTAGCACAACATCTCAAATTCCTCAGAAACACATTTTATATCCTCAAGGACAAGATATAGAGGCAAGTCAAAATTTTATACTGCTCATAAACCAACTTCTGGCTACAGTTTTTCAAATACATGTACTAAATCATATTATTTTATCAAATGATTCTTTGGTTTTTGAAATATTCCAAATAGAGTCTCCGTGAACACAGTTCTAACCCAGCTTTAACCACCTGAAGCTCTAGAGTATCTAGGCTTCCTCTGAAGGAAGGAAAGAGGAACAGTAAATTCCTAAAACCAATTGACTCATCCTAAACATGTTCAGAAAAGGCAGGGTGAAGCCCACTCTGGAGGTGCCTCTGACCTTTTGCTGAATGTACAGAGAGAACAGGTTTAAACGAACTACCTATCTTCTGGGCTGTGCAGGTAAATGAATTTCAGTCTTGTGGGCAGACCTAAAGCAGGAAAGTATGAACCAGGCTATGTATTTGCCTCCCATCATTTCCCCTTGACGCTGGCTGTATTTATAGTTGTTATTATTGATCATAACTTGTTTCCAACATACCTCAGATATATTTACCAGCTTTTCAAATACAATGGATGTATCATTCTCCAATTACAAAATAAAAAATCCAATACCACTTTCCATTAAACCGTTTTCATGCACACAACCAAACCCAGAACTGATACGGAGAACATAATTCAGCACCAGGTTCCCTAGGCTGCTTTACTCTGCACAGTGCTACTCTCCTTTGACACAACACAGCTTTACTCTGCACCAGATATCAATCAGAGAAGGCAGTGCTGAAGCTGTGAACAATAAAGCTCTCGTCTATTGTAATGGTTTTCCTTAAAACCAGATGTTTAGGTCAAATGTACTGAAGACACAGAAATGCATCTTACTTTGTCATCTTCAACACCATCATTGTCATCATCCTCATCACAAGCATCTCCTTTGCCATCTTTATCGAAGTCTTCCTGGCCAGAGTTAGGCAGAAGGGGGCAGTTGTCCTGGCCAAAAGAAATAATCAATACATTATGTTTACATTATGTCAGAATGACTTGCCTGGGCAGAAAAATAGATATAGTACACCAGAGACTATAAAACAAGAACAATCAATCAAATACTTTTTAAAGTGCCTGTTTGTTTGCTGCCAAAGATAGTAGTTCATTTGCTGCTTTCATATTGTAAAGTAAATGAAATGCATCTGCAAATCATTCTATTTCCCAGCTCTCCTTCTGTTAAAGGGATATTTCCAGTAAATTTTAGATGAAACTATCTAGCAGAGAACAAACACACCACATGCACACACATGCACTCTTACATCAACATTTTATAGACAACTCATGAAGTATGTTTGAAGAATACATTTAAAATGACCAGGTTTGGTTGCCAGAAGAATAAAGATGCAAGCCAGGAGATGGTCTTCAGAAATAGTTGTTCATATGGAAAGTTACTGGAATGAAGTAGTACACAGCAATGAAGGGGAACACACAAAGAAAGGGTTTTGAAAAATGTGCCTTTATACTGCTCTGCAAAATGATACCTTTGCACTCCCATGCTCCCATGGCTTTGAAAATAAAAGGCAAATGTATCTCTATTTTGTATCACAGCTTTGTAAAGAATGATTCTTTTAAATGAGCGAGTCTTCAGTTACACTGAAAAAAAAGTGCCAAACATCTATTCCTTTTTAAAATACTAAAACCAGCTAAAAATGGATTGCAATTCTACAACTGGCTAAGAATATATGCATCCATAAAACCTCACTTTGTTATTCTCACTTTTGCTCACATTCCGTATCTACATTAGACCAAAACTGAATCTGCCAATAGAGTGCAGAGATATCTTTTTTGTAACACACACCCTAAGAAAATGAATATTATAGTAAGATTCGTAGCCCCTTTTTCAATCTCAGTGGTTCTAATAGTATAGATAATTTAAGAAAGACAACTGGAAAATTTGTGATAAATGTCAAAACCCCAATGCAACTCCACAATTTTTTGAGACACTTTTTTACCAAATCCCTGTGAACAGCCTTGACTGTCCAATTCAACACTGGTTACCAGTGATACAAAAAAAGGGTTTTTTGAAACAATGAATATAAGGACCTGAAAATACCTGGTATTTTTAAGGTTGGTTTCTGGAGAGTTGTTTTT